CAGGTGATGCACTGTATTCTTGGTGCTGGGGGGGGCAACAGTGGGAGGGCTTCTAGTGTCCTGGCCCCACTGATGGACCTCCTGATGGCACCTGGTATTTTTGGCCACTGTGTGACAGAGTGTTGGACTAGATGGGCCATTGGCCTGATCTCACATTGGCTTCTCTTATGTGCTTATGTTCTTATGATTAACAATCACAAATATTAATAAAAATTATTGGTTAATATGGTTTGGGCCTCAAAAGCTGGAAGTGGTCTGGGCCTCAATGAAACTCTAAAGTGGCCCAGTGGGTGGAGCTGGTGAAGAGGAAAAATGGAAGAGAATTAACAAGAGGTGACGGAATAATCCTTGTGGTTTGAATTCATCCCCTTTTCTTCATGATGAGGGGGCACACAATGAGTTCACCACTAGAAGGCTCTCCTCATTTCTCATGCAATCACATGGATGGCTTCAATTTATCTTTGTTTACTCTCATAAGCCGTCTTCCCTTTCTATCCTGGGTCTTCCCAGTCCTTTTTTATACTCCCTTCCTTGTAATTTCCTAAGACACGAGGTTTTCATCTCTCCAGTTGCATCCTTCTCTCCTCCCCTCCCCCAAAGTTTTCCCATTTTGGTTTTAATTGCTTTTTCTTCTGGATCCTCATCTCTCCCACATGTGAAAGCATCCTCAGTCTCTCATTTTCTAAGACTCCCTTGTCTTTTCACTGAAGTGGACAGCTCATCCGGATCTTCATTTCCTCCCTCCTGGCTCTCATTCTCACCTCTTTTTGTGCATTCATCTTGCCAACCTTTTCTCTGTTTTCACTGGGCAGGGGGTCTTTTTTGCTTTGTACTGCATAATTGTGTGAGAAGCCTGTGATTCAGCAGACAGGAATTTTTGTTACTGTTCTTATTTTAGAATGCTTGGTAAATTAATCTATAAAAGACAGCTAACTTTCCTCACAGAATGCATCAGATCCTGAAGTCAAGATATTCCAAGTTTAGCTACCTAACCACTTATGTTTCACCAGACATTACTTGCTATGACTTTCCTTCGTCTGTCTGTCTGTCTGTCTGTCTCTCACTTCTTTCTACTAACTAAATTAGCATTAGACCCACTACAGGAGAAACAACTTTGCTATAATTCATTTACAGGGACTGCCATTAAGTTTCAATATTTTAAATCTTCAATGCAAATCATTTCTCTATGGTTCTACTTTAGATAAAGCATATGCACACAAACACATGTAAAAGCCTTCTCCTTCCCTATCTGGGCATGCAGAATATGATACCAGCTCATTTTTACACACACTTTTGGCTTGCTATCTTTAATACCCTACTATTCTACTTTGACCAGCTCTTGGGGCCTTTCTTATCTTACCTTACTGAGGCAACAGAGCTCCCATTTCCCCATAAGTGTATCCCACACTACTCTTGTAACATCTATGTACAAGAATCTTATCCAAATAGGGAAGCTGAACAGGATGAGCCAATCATGTGGTTACGCCTTGCAGCAAAGCTATCTCCAGAGCTACAGTAGCCTGAAGAGAAACCATGCCATTGAGGCCATTACTGAACAGTTTCTTGTGGTGTATCAATGAATACTTAACCTATTTACTATCTACATACACACTAGCCTCAATACCTGCTCTGAAACAAGTTGTTTACTAGAAACTGTAGCCTTTGAATCACCACCATCTGCTTTTTGTGCCCCCAAATAAGGCTGGCTATGGACTGGTTCTTACTCAGGTAGCAAGCATTTCCAGCTACAGACAGAGGCTCACATGATTAAATGTTATCTCTGAGACATACCATGCATATGGAAAACGAGGGTATTTTTGTGAGAAGGAGCTTTCAGTCATATAGGCTCCTATTTGCAATCTGATATTGTAAGAATGAGACACTACTTTACTACTTCAGTAAAAACTAGACCCACGTACACACCACTCCTTATCAGCAAGAAAGAGGTTCCCAAGCCACTAACAGTTTGAGCTTACCTGAAGGCCCAGCTAGAATAACTTCGTTACGCTTTGCCTCAAGTTTGTCTCTCACCCATGGAAACTCTTGTAAAGACTCTAGAAAGGTCTCAAATGCCTTAGGCCCTCTTGTAGGCAGAATGTCAAGAAGCATCATAGTCTTCCTGTGGTTGGTGACTTGGGATCTTATTTCTTGTATGTGGTTCTCTGTTAGAATCCCTTCTTGGTAAAGATACTGAATGATAAGGCCTTCTACCAGAAGTTCCGCACCCAGCTCCAGGCGCAGGGAGCGAAGAACTTGTTTGTCTCTGGGATCCATCCTGAGAAAGAAGAGACAAAGCATGTCTGAGAAGAAGCTAAAGCTCTTCATCTTTGCATTTTACAATTGGAAGCATTATTCAACATTTTTTAGTAGTAGTAAAATTGTACTGTATTTAGCCATTGGCAATTATAAATGTTACAAAACCATAAAATACATTACCAAATAAAACTTTAAGATCAGATGTTAAAATGAATTTAAATTAGTAAAATAAAATAGACTGATCCAACCAAAAATCATGGAGCTACCCTGTTCAACCACCCTAGCTCTAATCTTCTTGGCTGCAAGGGCAAACAGAGAAACTCTGTAAGATACATAAGAATCATTATCTGATAACAGAAACACAAATTTTTCATTTTCAGAGTGTGCAATTAAGGCAGATAAGATTCCAGCTACAAATTTATTTCTGGTTGCACTGTACAGCGGACAAGGTAAAATACAATGTGGGTGATCCACAAATGCAGACGCAGTGTTCCATTACAGTATGAAAATAACGACCAGTCAGAAGAGCTGTTTGCATGGTTTGAAAATGTAGAGTAGATAAATAGGTACCACTTCGGTGGGAAGGTAACAGCGTTCCGTGCGCCTTGGTGCTTAGTCATGCCGGCCACATGACCACGGAAACATCTTCGGACAGCGCTGACTCTTCGGCTTTGAAACGGAGATGAGCACCGCAACCCTAGAGTCGGATTCGACTGGCTTTCGAGCAAGGGAACCTTTACCTTTACCTTAAAGGACACTCTAAGATTGTGATTGGAAATATTAACTAAATAATTAGATCTAGAATAATTATATTTAACTGTTTTGTACCAAGGGGCTGCCTTCGATTTTAGAATTAAAGATTAATCTATCAACCAGTCTGAATTGTAAATCCAATCCCTAAATTGAGAATTGTCACCTGAGGCCCCTAAGAGATCGTCAGGGATGGAACAATAAATTGAGAACAGACATCAGCTGCTTAATTTAGATCTGAAAATAAACTTTTGAAGACTGAGGTTGGTTTGTTTCTCTGGAAGACCCTTCACGAATCACCTGGTATCATTTTCACATTTTTTCACTGCATACCATAGATACCTGACATATACCATAGATTTTGGTATTATATTATACCAAAGCCCATTTGAGACTATTTAAGCTTTATTCTGTTATGACAACATACGCACCCTCCACATACACACCTGTATGAAGAATGCAATATGGAACTGTGGCCACCTATGAAGATTTTCCAGATAAATGAATAGCTTTATCTTTCACTTTGTTGTATGGCAGTCGGTGTCCCTTATTTTAAGAGAGACAGAATGGATGCCTTCTCAGACTGACTCCTGTTGGCAAAGTATGCAAGCTTTCAAACAAGCAAATTATTATGACATCTGATCCATATAATTGGACAGTTTCAGTTCACAAGGCTCGCCACTGTAGAAAGTGTTTTTTTAAGGACTGTATGAATATCAAAATGATCCCATGCCTGCCTTGGCTGGTAAAAGTCCACTCGGAGAAGCTGGGTCCATTGCTAAACCAAACAGTGACTCATACAGGAGGCAGAAAATCAGTTTCATCTTTTTGATTATCAAATCCCTGCCAGTTTTTTGAAAGTAAGAATACTTTGTCATTGATTATGGCATCAAAGGCAGTTGTTATCCTGTGTTTTTTTTTGTTCTAGGAACATTCATTTTGTGGGTGGCAGCTCTCCAAGTGCGAGCACATTTAAAACCCTCCACATACTGAGTTGCCCTCAACCCATTTTTTAACCTGATAGGGCATCTAGGTTCTTTGACCAGCAAGCTATACCTAGAGATCTATACATGGATTCACATTCTATACATCATTTTGTTGCCTTTCATATTGCTGATTATGATGAACTAACAGTGAAGCAACAACAGCTCTATCCAAGAGTTATCAGAACACTTCTAAGTAGCTCTCCCTGTTCATAGCAAAGAGGTCCCAAACTTACACAGGGAACAGGGATTACTTCCACTAACAGAGTCTGCCTTCCACTCCTATTCACTGACACTTGCAGCAGTGAAATTATCATAGATTACAGGTTACACTGGTAGCCAGGTCACTTAAGAGACCACAATCTTTTTCCTTGGAACTATTTATTACAACTTTCATGTATAAACTGGACTACTGTAATATCTTCTGGGGGCTGCCTTTGGTAATAGTGCACACAAACCTGAGCAAGCACATTCAGTATTCTGTTTCAGGGTTTCTGTTGAACACCTGTAAAAGCTCACTTCTTTTTCTCTTTCTCATCATCATCTCTAAAATTGGCAAGTGATCTCTTCAAGTAACCATCTATAAGCTATATCCAAACAGAAAAGACATGGGGGACTTCATTCCCCTTTCTCAGCAAGATGAGCAGACACAATACAAGACTGGTTTTCCAAACTTATATGCATTTAACAGCTGAGAAGTAACTATGAGAGATCTCACAGCACTACAAAAATGAAAAAAGCTGCACTGTCAATGTAACATAAATATTACATATACAAGAGTCCCACGCACTAGTCCACCTAGTTAATCTCCCACACACAGCCAAACCAAAACTTTACCCTAATAGTTGTAATTTTTTTAAAGTATTTAAACTAATTTTCGATGAGAAAGCAAGGTTTAAGTATTTATAAACACTTTATCGTGTTCGATATGTCTGCATAGATGGCTACAAATAAATACACTGCAGAAGCTACACTATCTGGATTATGCAAAATGAAATGCCTTACCTTCATCTATAAGGCTGTCCTGGATTTAAAACAACCCCTTAAAAGAATGTTGATAAAATGGTACAAAGCTTGCAGGGAAAATCTTCAGAAAAAATTGAAACTCCATACAAGCTTTGGGAAACGGAGCACTCGGGCAGTTTCCAAAATAAAATGCATAACCACATTGTTTTAAGGAAGAAATGAAAATGTTCAATTTCCGTAAAAGTACTTACAAAAATTAAGCGCAGGTGGTCATTTACCGAGCTTGAATCACCATCTTTCTGGAAGACAAACTCTTGGAACAGGAAGTGCATTGCTTCCGTATTTGTTAAGGGCAAAACTTCAATAGACAGCAATGTAAGAGTATTTTGGACCGTGCCGGCAGCCATCTTTCTTGTGGGCAATCAACTCATCGAGAAGGAAAAGAACAAAGTTTGATCTACCTAACTGCCGCAGTGCACACATTGCACTGCCGAATTGTTGTTAAATGAAAATGACCGGTGTTTGCATTCGTTTTGGTAAAGCAACTAGAAAGATATTATAATTTTATTAGCCCTACCAGTGGTTCTTCTAAGCATTGCAGGGATGTACTGGGATGTACTAAAAAGAATGACAAGAATGCCCATTAGGAACAATGGGAGATACCTGAAGGCCCACTGGATATACTGGGAGTCAAGAATGCCTATTGACTTTTATGGGTTCCATTGAAATACATTACAGCGCACAAAAAGTTGCAAAGAAAATGCAGAACAGATTTGAAGGAGCCAGCTGTGGGTCGGGAATAACAGCTCCCATATTGTAATAACAGTCCCTGAGGTTGGTATCAGTGCTCTGGGTCTGGAATTATAGTCCCCCAGTCCCTGGGAGTTATGTAAGTGTTCTGTGACTAGAATGACAGCCTCCAGAGTGGAACAACAGTCCCTAGGAGTAACATAAGTATTCTGGGACAGGAATGACAGATCACAGTGTGGAATGACAGTCCCTGTGTCGGGGACAGCCCCAGGTTGGGAAATTTCTGGGGATATGGGCCTGGAGTCCAGGCATGGCTGAGTTTGGAGAGAGAAGTGAGATATGTGATGATATGTGATGATACATAGTACCCCTCCAAACTGGTCATTTTCTCCAGGGAAACTGGTCTCTCTGGTCTGAATATCAGCAGTAATTCTGACAGAACTCCAGTCCCACCTGGAGACCAGCAACTCTGTGTGCAGACAATCTCTGTGTGGATGCAGCCCAGCCTGGAGAGGAAAGGCTTAACCTCTCACTTCCTTCTTTGTACACTTCAGGTTGGAGTCCTCCCCCACCCCACTCCACCCCTCACTCTGCCACCATCCCCATCCCCCAGGTGTCACTTTAGTGGAGGGAGAGAGGCTTTGCTACCTACCTCACCCCCCAGCAAATCCTTGTGGGCTCACTGTTTGTTGTCTCCAACTGCCAAATAATTCAAGAAATTTCAAGGGGTGGAGGAGAAAGGTATCTCTTTTGTACGTTATAAACTATCACAAAATTGTACAAACAGAATGAGCTCTTCCTCTACAGTTTATTAACAATAATTTAAAATATACTGTATACCTGAGAGAGATAAATATCCCCATTAATATTTATCTAAGCAATTAGAGTAATAGGAATAAATAGCTATTTTGCTTTAGCTGAAGGAACAGACTTCCATCCAAAAATGCAGTCTGCATTTGAAGGTTAGCCAGCCAGGTTATTCAGCAGTTCCACTGTTCCCAAAGGGCATTCTTGTCATTTGTTTTAATACATTCAAGTTTCTCCTGTAACACATAGTGAAAGCAGCTAGAGTAGCAACTAAAATTGTGAGAGGAACACTGTAATCACAACAGCTATTGGGCCAGTGTGGGGGTTCAAACCTGGGGGGGGGGGGGAAATTGATACAATTTAGAGTCTGGTCGAGGCAAACCCAGGGAGTTGTCCCTTAGCATGGTTTCTGTCTATTTATGCTATTTCTGAATTTTTTTCTTTTGATACAGTACAATTTTGTATTAGGTGCAAAGAAATGACACTTGGGCCTTGGGAAGCACCTGTGTTAAATAATGCTGCTAGATCACTCTTGAAAGTGAATTGCATACTTCCCCCCCCCCCAATTCCTGTAATATTGTGCCAATGCAGTTAGTGAAAATGGATCATCACCCTCCATTTTTTCCTGGGACTCTCCCAGCAGTCTCTTGTTCATATTTCCCTATCAGCATACGAGGGGGGGGGGGGAGAGAGAAAACCTTGCAGTACCAAACAGGCAATGGGGGGAGGGTTAGGGTTGCCAGTTCCTGGTTGGGAAATTCCTGGAGATTTGGAGGTGAACCCTTGGGAGGACAGAGTATGGGGAGCGGAAAGAGCTCAGCAGGGATGTGATGCCATAAAGTCCACCCTCTGAAGCTGTAATTTGGTCCCGAGGAACTTTGCCATCTGGAGATCAGCTGTAGGTTGAAAAGCAGTCTCCCAGCACTTACTTCCTTTTGGAACCATTGCAAAACTGTGGCTCCTACATGCCCAGCCTGCCAACTGATCTAGAAGGACACAATGATCAGTAGTCCTGAAAGCTGCTGAGAAGAGTATCAACAGAAGCGAATCTCAGCTAGTTTGTTCCTGTCTCAAATTTCTTCTAAAGCCATATTGAAAGGAATGCAGATAAATTCCTCATACATGGAGTACTGGATAATAACCTGATATCAATGGAATCCAAGGATGGCTTCTTCAGTTTATGTCTGACACTGGCCTCTTTTAGCGGCTCAGAATTCCTTCTTTCAATGATGAACATTTTCCAGAGCCAAATAATACTTCGTGTAGTGGTTAGGAGAACGGACTCTAATCTGGGAGAACCGGGTTTGATTCCCCACGCCTCCACATGCAGCTGCTGGTGTGACCTTGGGTCAGTCACAAGTTCTCCCAGAGCTGTTGTCTCGAGAGCAGTCCTCGAAGGAGATCTCTCAGCCCCACCTACCTCACAGGGTGTGTGTTATGAGGAGGGGAAGGGAAAGGAGATTGTAAACTGCTCTGAGACTCTGAGTGAAGGGCAGGGTATAAATCCAATCTCTTTTGTTCTCTCTGTTTAAACTTATATGTATGCAGAGGTCATTTCGGGGGGATCGCGGGGGATAGCAGTTTCCCCGGGTGAGGTACGGGGGGGGGGACATGACGAGGCCCCCCCCCCTGCTTCCTGCCGCCCCGCTTCCGGCCCTCATTCAGCCAGGAGGAGGCAGGAGAAGAGGGAGGGTAAGTTGCTTCCTCCCTGCCTCTCCCCACCCCTGCCTGCCTGGGGCCAGGGAGGGCCTTCGTGGGGCTTCCTTGCACTCCCGCCGGCCTTGCAGGTCCACTGCCGGACCCCTCATGGGGCTCGGCAGTGGCGCTGCAAGGCCGGCGGCAGCGGCCGGGACCGTTGGGGGCGGGGTGTGTGGCCTTATGACACACTTCTGGTGATGTCAGGGGGTGTGGCCTTATGACACACTTCCGGTGGTGTTAGGGGGTGTGGCATATGCTAATGAGTTGTGCTAATGAGTCCCCCTAGCTCTTTCTACGAAACGACCCCTGTATGTATGTATCACATTTATATCCCAGTATTCCTCCATGGAGTTCAAGGTTGCATATCTGGGATCATTCCATATTGTTTTCACAACAACCCTATGAGAGAGCAATTTACAGCGAACCAAGGCTACCCAGTAAGCAGAGTTTTCTACCGTCCAAGTCGACTGTCCTATGTCCAAATGCAGGCTTGCTCTTCTTCCCTATGGTATCCCAGGGGGTCAAGATGGGCAACAACTTGAATACAGCATTGCATAGTAAGTAGTTTAAGCTGCATGATTGCAGCCTGCCTGAAAGTGAGCGAGTGTCTGACCATGCCACCTCAGTCTTGGACATGTGCCAAGTTTCCATAGTGTACTAACATCTTAATAGGATGCTTGAATGACCTGACTGTTGCCAGAGTAAATTAAAAAAGCTTTCTATGTAAATAGCAGACAGCCTAGAGGCAATGACACTCACCTGGGGACTTCTTTTCGCATTTCTAATTCCACACAATTATTTTTTCCACCATTACCCCTTTTTGATTCTCCTTCCAATCACATTTCCACAACTCTTCTGCTACCTTTGTACTCTGTTTTCAAATTAATAATTTTCAGGTGGGTAGCCATGTTGGTCTGAAGCAGTAGAACAAAGTTTGAATCTAGTGGCACCTTTAAAACCAACAGTTTTATTCAAGATATAGTGCATGCACATGAAAGCTCATACCTTGAATAAAACTTTGTTGGTCTTAAAGGTGTCACTGGACTCAAACTTTGTTCTAATAATGTTCAGTTACTGTTGTATCCAGTGGAAACATTTGTGGAAGGCATTGATAGAGTGTCCCCCCTCCCTTTCCCTTGCTGTTTATCCCAAAACATTTCCGACTGCAGATGGATCCTTAATAACATCCCAGTGATTTGCATCAGCAAAAAGGGAAATGGAGCTGATTCTACCCAATTCTCCTTCCTCCCTGCTGCTCCATGAATTCTGCTTACAAAAGTTGCCCAGCCATCAGAGATGATTTCTGGGACACACAAAAGTATGTTGGGCGAATGGGAGGCAGAGAAAGATCCATTCCACCTATTCCTCCATCAAATTTTTCTACTGGATCCAACCCCAAGTACTTCTAAAACTTTTTAGGTCCATCTAGTTTTTATTGCAGTCAAGATAGCAACATTAATTTGATTAATTAGTAAAACTGGTTGACTAAAACTGTGCACCTAATTAATTGGCCATGACATTTTAAGAAACAAGTTAAAAGTGTTAAAATGTTCAGCATGGTGTAGAGGTTAGAGTGTCAGACTAGGATCCAGGTTTGAATCCCCACTTCTGCCCCAAAAACTCACTGTGTGATCTTGGGCCACTTTCTCTCAGCCTAACCTACCTCACAGGGTTATTGTGAGGAGGACAAAATGAAGGAGCGGAGAGTGATGTGATCCAACTTGGATCTGCACTGGGGAGGAAAAGAGGGTATAAATATCTATATATATAAAAATAAATTTTGATATTAGTTATTAAAGCTGCAGATGAAAGGTGCTATCTTAGAAAGTGCATTCTAACTTCTCCTGTACATTGAAGGAAATGTTTAGGATGGTGCCTTCTGAAACATACTCATTTTAGGCTTTTTCAACTTTTACTTTAGCCATAAACAGGTATATGCAGGTGTAACTAAGTAAGAGGGCCATAATTTTCAATCTCCATTACAATTACAGGCGACAATGTCTTGGAATAATCCAGAACTGTCTGGATGCATATCTGATGCTGGTGGGTACAGAGACATGCATCTGAGATCG